TCCCTCTCCCACTCCCCCTGCTTGTGTTCCTGCTCTCGCTGTCTCTCTCTCTGTCAAATAAATAAATAAAATCTTTAAAAAAAAAAAAAAGAAGTCTTGTTAAGTAGAGACACAGTGTTTAGTATAATTTTTTGTAGTCAACACACTGGGAATGTTTTTCCATGGCTTTGGGGATTTTTCACCAATGTTACCTAAATGGCTGGAATATTGTTTTTAAATAATCCCTTAATTCTGGATATCCACACCCTCAGATTTTCATGATTAAAAATAAACTTCTAAAACTCTTTTTAAACACAGATTGTGCCCTGTCAGGTCAATGCAACCAAATTCTGCAAAAGTAGTGCCACCACCTGCCAAGCACTAAGGACCTGAGGGAAAACAGTCCGTGAACACTCCTCACGGTAGCGCTTCCAGGCTTGTGGGGAGACACGAATGTAACACAAATCCCCTTTATACGAAATATCACAAAGGCAAATCTACAGACACAGAAACAGATCTGTGGTTTCCTAGAGCTGGAGAGGTGGGAGTGGAGGGGGTGGAGGTGACAGCTAAGGGGAGGGGTATCCTTTTGGGGGGATGAAAATGTTCTGAAATTAATGGTGATGGCTGAACAACTCTGTAAATTTACTGAAAACCACTGAATTGTACGCTTGAAGTGGGTGAGTGGTGTGGTGTGTGCATTATATCTAAATAACGTATTTTAAAAATAAACAGTCCAGAGTACACATGCGACCTAGCTAGAGGTGAGCACCTGTAGGAGAAGGGCTGCAGGTAAGGCAGGTTGTGTGGAGACTGGGAAGGGGCTGGGCAGGGGGCTGTCTCTGGTGGGGAAGCAGGTGGGCAAGGAAACAAAGGGAGGCCAGAGACACCCCCCCCAAATGGCGCAGCCGCTTCTGGAAAATTCTGGTGGTAGGACTGCAGGGTGGGAGGTGGTGGGAGGTGGTGGAACGATGAGAGAGGGGAAGGGATGGGGCTGCTGGGGGAGGTGGGGAGGAAAAGGGGAGTGAGGGGAGGAGAGAGGAGAGGAGAAAGGAGGGGAGGGGGGGGCAGAGGGGAGCCAGAGGAGGGGTGGGAGGAGCAGAGCTGGCCCCGCTGGGGGAGGGGGAGAGGGGGGCAGGAGTGGGTTGCAGCTGGAGCGGGAGCAGGGCCTGGGGTCTCAGTGGTTCTGGGCAGGTCAGCCTGGGATGCAGCTCCAGGAGGAGGGTGTCCCTCTCACTGTGTGTGGGGGTGGGGGAGGGAGGGACAGGTGTAGAGGTTGAAGCAGAGGCCAGGGTTGGACCAGCAGCAGAAAGGGGGTAGTGAAGGGAGACTTCCAGGCAGGCCCAAGTAACCAGGTCCACGCCGATGGGGCCACTCACTGGGCGCTGCCTCTGGAGATTCTGTTAATGTCTTCATTCACTTATATCTTAATGTCTTAAGATAAATCCCCAAAAGTGAACCAGTTTGTCACATTCGGAACCTTGTGGAGACTCAGTTTCCCCCAGGACATGTGTCCCCAGCGTCCCCACCCCCAGTGGGGACGTGATGCTAAGTCAGGGGGACCAGGACCAGGGGCGCAGGGGAAGCGTGGGTGGTGGGGCCCAGGGCCCAGGGCCCAGGGCCCAGGGCCGGCATCCGAGCTGGCTGGTGTGGAGAAGACCAAACCCCTCTCCAGCCCCGTGGACACCCTGCACTGGTCCGACTGGCCTCCTAAACCTCCAGACCCCCCCACGGCCCTCCCCCCATCCCTGCCAATCTCTCAGGGCTCGGCTTACCACCTCTGCCTCAGGCAGGCCTCCCCAGGGCCACAGAACCCAGTGGTCATCAGGCAGGGGCAGGGCTGGGTCGTGCCCCCTCTGGCCGCTTAGCGCCTGTCTCCTCATCTGTGATGGGGCCAGAGATGCCATGCCACCTCAGAGGGTGTGTTGTTCCTGGAATAGCTCAGAGCAGGGCGTGTGGGAAGGGGCTGGAGCTCCTGAAGGCAGGGCGAGGGCCTGGAGCAGTAGAGAGGCTTCACCCCCAGACCCCTCTGTTCTCAGTGCTCCCTGAGTATCACCTGGAGTCCCAGGAACACACACCACAGATGTGACCCAGGAAGCCTGCTGTTCCAAGAGTTGGCCTCAGTGCCACACGGGTCCCATGGCCTGCCCCTTCTCCCTCCAGCAGAAGGTGCTGCCTCCGCCCCTTTGCCTGCCCGGCCCCCACCCCAGCTTCCAGAGTTTGCTCCAGCACCGGGGAGCCGCCCCTCATGCTTGCAGCTCTTGTCCTCTCTAGAGGGTTTCTGCCCAAGGTCCTATCCTACCCCAGCAACCAGAACACTCCACGGCAACTGCTTCTCTCCTACCTGTGCACCTGCCCCGTGGGCGTCCTGCTACCCCTGGGGACAAGCACAGGGCCAGGTATAGGACCGAGCAAGTCCCGGCCCCACCTTGTGCAGCTGTGGCGCTGCCGTGGACAATGAGGGAGGAGGGGGGCTTCTGGCGCCGGGGGAAGTGACCCTAAGGGGGCAGCTCTGGCAACAGCTGCTCACCGCTCTACTCCTCCTTCCGAAGGATGGAGAATTCCAGTTACAGCCTCATGTGCCCTAGAGCCCGCACAGCCTGGCTCTGAGGGAGGGCTGCTGACGCTCTGAGGTGGACCTGGGGTGGCCATCATGCAGCCGTCCTCCTGGCCCAGCCAAGCCCAGCACCTCTGCTCCCTAAATTCTGGGCTTCGGGCCCCTGCATCAGCTCCTACTTCCTGGCGGGCCTCCCTGCACCTGCTCTCCCTTCACTCCAACTCCAAAACCTGCCTCACTTAGCTGTGACTCAGAGCCTTCCCTCCTGTCCTGGGGGATTCCAAGGGCACCCCACACGGTGCTGCCAGGAAGGGGGCACAGGGACAAAGGCCCAGCCCTTGGGGCCCTCACTCTCCCTCCCAGGACCAGGGGACAGAGAAGGAGCAGAAGTTCAGATGTCCACAGGGCAGCAGCAGTCTGCAAACAGGGCGCAGTGAATCAGGTCAGGGAGAAGTGGCCTCGGGGGGCTGCTCGGTGAGAGTGGGAAGGCCTGAGAGCACGGTCCATGACCACCGGGTCCGGGCCAGCGCCAACAGCTAGGCTGGTAAAGGCTGAACAAACTCGCTCAGCAGGCTCGCGTGTGAGAACCTGGACACCACGCACTCAGGCTGTCTGATGCCTCGTCTTTATTCTAAATGGGTTTTATTTTAAACTGACTGAGAGAGTCTGAGCACTTCCATGAAGATTAGAATAGGTTCCGTCCAAGACAGCGCAAGTCCCTCGTGTCCCCGGACGAGCCTCCGAGGGGCCACGCGGCTCATCAGAGCACGCCGGTCAGTGTGCACCCACACCAGCATCCATGTGCACTGTAAGGCGGCTCCAAAGGAAAGCCAGCCTGGGAACCCCACCAGCGTGACGACATCCCTGCCCCGGGCTCAGTGGTGGGGGGCGCTGGATCCTGAGCTTCAAGCACTCGCCAAGGAGTTTTAGAAAAGAAACACAGCCAGGCCAGGGTCTCAGGGCTTCCGGAAAAGCAGCCTGTGAACCGTGTGACGCAGAGGAAGGGGACAAAGCCCGCTCTGCTCACAAACCCGCGGCCCAGGCCCGTAGAAGCAAGGCCCCGGCTCAAAGCAGCGTTGTCTTCGACATGAGTGTGGCCGCAGAGAGCCGTTGCCTAGAAAGCAAACGATGTGACAAAATCGTGCGGCCCACTGAGGGCCCACTTTGGGCCAGGCCACCAGAGCTGGCCCTAAGGGACATCTGTCCTCTGCCTCCCTCAGCTTCAGGTGAAGGCAGATTCTAGCGATTAAGGCAATTGTAAAGTGTGGGCGTTCTGGCGAGCTGGGACGCGCTCCTGCTTTCCCTGACGGGTAAACTCGGGGAGGAGACAGTCTCTCAGGGAAAAGGACAATGGTAGGAAGGGCTGGAGGCGCCAGGCCGGGGGTCCTAGCAGAGAGACCGCCGGGGAAGGTGGCTCTGAGGACACAGCCAGGCCAAGGAGAGCGGGGCGCAGCCGCCCTCATGCCCAGCCCGGGGGAAGCGGGGTGTGGGCGGAGGGCCGGCCCTTACTCTAGAGCGGTGCTCGGGCTTCCCTGAGGTCCCGGCTCCTCTTCCCAGCTCTCCGTCCCCCGAGCCTCTGCACTTTGGGTCTCTTTGCCATTTGACCTCCAGGGTCCCAGGGCAGCAGAAGGTGCTTCTGGCCCATCCAGGATGGGGTCTGCCCTGCTGGCTCCCGCATGCCTTCTGCATGAAGCTCGACCTGTCCCGCTCCCTGTGCTTGAGGGAAGCCCCTCCGCCCAGAAGCTGGCCCCATCCTGCTGCACCGCCCCTGCCCCCCACCGCTCCCACCACTGCACCCCCGTTTCCCAAGGAGGGGGTCCTGTGCCTGGACCAGTCCTGGCCTGTGTCCACCCCACACTCTCCCAGGCCGCTTCACTGACGACGGCATCTACAATTAGCATCTGCCCCGAGGACCCTGGTACCGCTCTCTGCCCAGCTCCACACCTGCACACCAGCTGCCCACTGGGCCCCGCCCCAGTGGCCAGCCCTACAGGCCTCTCCGCTGGGCTCCCTGTGGCCCATTCACCCTCCTCCTCCTCCCCCTGTGGCCACCCGCCCCACCTCCCCTCGCCTGGCAAGAGGCAAGGGCGTCCCTGTCTGGGAGTCAGGGTGTGGCTGAGCAACAGTGGACCTAGCCCAGAACACCCGGGCTCCGACCTCGGCCCCAAGAAGCTCTGAGCACTCAGCAGGTGACCGAGCACCTCCTGCCTTGGGGTACACAAGGCCTAACCCCACGTGCTGGCCGACACCTCTGAGCCCACAGGACCCCAGAGGCCTGAGCCTGAGCTCCGCTGCTCTCGCGGCTCGCACTCTGCACCCAGCAGGAGAGGCTCTGCCTGGGCACGCCCCCACTGCCAGAACAGCTGCACCCCACCTGCTCTCCACCTGCTAGGTCTCATCTCACCCCCCACCAGCCTGTGAACGATTCAGGTAAGCCCCTCCCATCGCCCCACAGGAGCCAGGGGCCTCCTCCCACAGCCCACGCTGGGCACTCTGCTCCTGCGTGTGCCCCACGTGGTTCCACATGGTGTGTGGGGCGCTCCTCCCCTGGGCTGCGAGCATAGGTGACTGTCCATCTCACCTGTCCAGTTGGGTGTTGGGTGTCCAGCCATCTCGTACTATCTAGGGTGGGGGATCCCTCCCTCACCCTCAGAACACCTGATGAGGGGCGACAGCAGGCCTGCTTGGTACCGTGTGGGTGGCCGAGCAGCCACCTGTTGGGGGTGTGAGTGCCAGCCATCAACACCCAGAGGGGCCCAGCACTGTCTTACTCCACAGTCCTGCTAGGCTTCTGCCCAATGGCTGTCCCGGGCGGGAGGAACACTCACCACACGATGGCCAACCTGGGGATGGTAAACATGAGGGCTGGTTCGTAGTCGTCAATCATGTCCTGGGTCAGGTACCCGAAGTCCAGGGCCCTGGCCGAGGGACAGAGAGCAAGAAGGGTGACTCCTGCCCACCTGCATCCACTGTGGCCCACTCCACCCTCACCTGCGTCTGTGCTCAGTAGATGGTCAGGAAGGTGACAAGGGCCACACTCTGCTCCAGAAGGCCCGAGCAGAGGTGGCTGGTGCTTACCCTTCCCCCATCTTCCCACCTGCCTGATCCCATCTCTGGGACAGAAGGTGCAGGGAGGAGGAAGGTGTGCTTGCTGAGGGGGGGCTCACGGGGCAGTGATGGTGTCCGGCAAATAAAACACAAAAGCTTATCCCGCCATGGGCTTACTTAGCCACAAAATTGAAACAGCTCAAGTGGCAAAATAAACGTGGAACAAAAACACTGCCCTGCACAATTTAACACTTTCCTGAGGAACAAACGGCGCTCTCCTGGATTTAGTCTCACGCCCCAGGCAAACACAAGCAGCTTTCTCTACACTCTGTGAGCTGGCGCTGCTCGAATCACATCACGATGGTTCCAAGTAAAACATATATCCCGCCATCTTATTTTTTAGCAAACTGAAATGTCTTTCAACACATAAAGAGTGAATAACCTGCCTTTAATTATGAGGTGATATGAGGCAATTTCAAGACTTCCCTAATACCACAGCACTAGTCAAACAGAACAAACATTCTAGGCTAAATCTTAGTCCCCAAATCCACTCAAAAATCTGACTTTAATTACTGTCCAAGGCATGGCAAAAATACTGATGATTCACGCCACAAAACCTTGTTCAGGAGACCTCCAACCCAGCAAGGGCTCCATCCTAGCCTGTGGAGGTGAGAAAATGAGGAGTTGGGGAGAGGAGGATGGGGGTGAGGGGGTGAGGAGGTGTGGAGGTGAGGAGGGTGGGGAGGTGAAGGAGGTGAGGAGGGTGGGCAAGTATGGTGAGGAGGTATAGAGGTGAGGAAGGTGTGGGGGTGAGGAGGTGTGGAGGTGAGGAGGTCAGGAAGGTGTGGAGGTGAGGAGGGTGAGGAGGTATAGATGTCAAGAAGGCATAGAGATGAGGAAAGTGTGGAGGTGAGGAGGTGTGAAGGTGCAGAAGGTGTGGAGGTGAGGAGAGTGAGGTGTGGAGATGAGGAGATGAGGAAGGTGTGGAGGTGAGGAAAGTGAGGAGGTATAGAGGTCAGGAAGGCATGGAGGTGAAAAAGGTGTGGAGGTGTGGAGGTGAGAAGATGAGGAAAGAATGGAGGTGAGGAGGGTGAGGAGGTACAGAGGTCAGGGAAGCATAGAGGTGTTGAGGTGAGGAGGTGTGGAAATGAGGTGAAGAAGACATGGAGGTGAGGAAGGTGTGAAGGTGAGGAAGGTGTGGAGGTGAGAAGATAAGGAAAGCATGAAGGTGAGGAAGGTATGGAGGTGAGGAGGGGTGAAGGTGAGGAAGGTGGAGGTGAGGAGGTAAGGAGATGTAGAGGTGAAGAGATCAGGAAGGCATGGAGGTGTGGAAGTGATAAAGTAAGGAGGTGAGGAGGTAAGGAGGCGTGGAGGTGAGGAATGTGTGGAGATGAGAAAATGAAAATATGGAGGTGAGGAGGTCAGGAAGGCATGGAGGTGAGGAGGTATAAAGGTGCAGAAGGTTGTAGGTGAGGAGGTGTGGAGGCATGGAGGTGAGGAGGTGATGAAGGTGAGGAGGTGTGAAAATGAGGAGGTGAAGAAGGCATGGAGGTGAGGCGATGTGGAGGTGAGGAGGGTGTGGAGGTGAGGAGGTGTGGAAGTGAGGAGGTGAAGAAGGCACGGAGGTGAGGAAGGTGTAGAGGTAAGGAAGGCCGTGTGATGTGGAGGTGAGGCGGTAAGGAGGTGTGGAGGTGAGGAGGTCAGGAAGGCATGGAAGTGTGGAGGGTGAGGAGGTATAGAGGTGAGGAAGGCAGGGAGGTGAGGCTTCCAGCTCTCCGTGCTCCCTGTGGCGGCTGCTCTGGCACTCTATCGGGTGGGCCCAGAGGAAGGGGATGGTGGGGCTGAGGAAGGAGGCTGTAGGTGTGCACACTAGGGGAAGGTGGACTTGGAAGGGGAAGGGGGCTGGAGGCGTCCCTGCGCCTGCGCTGCCTCAGGGAGGAGCAAGGTCCTGTGGCGGTCAGGGGTGGCCTCACCTCTCCACGGTCTCGCAGAACAGCACGATGACCTCCTGCTGCACATAGTACTCCCTGGGGGACTTCACAGGCACCATGGCGGAGACGTAGCTGCAGACACAGCCAGGGAGGTGAGTGCTGCCCCCGCCACCCACGCATCCCCCCCGAAAAGAGCTGCGTCTCAGATGAAAGCCGAATGTGCTTCAGACGTACAGAGCTTCTGGCACAAGGCATGGCCATCTGCGTTGAAATCAAGGTGCTGGGGCCTAGTCCAGCACCTGCGGGACCCGCAGCCCCGCCCCGCCTGGGTGCCGGCCTTCGTGGGCACGTGAGTGGATGGATGCGCGTGCAAGTGGGTGAAGACCACAGGGCGGGGGAGGCCAGCGCTGGGCGGGGCACAGGGGCCTCCTGGGCAAGCGACACCTTGTCCCACCCTTCCCCAGGTGAGAACACGTCTCTTTGCTTCTAACTCCCCAGCCCTGATTTTTTCCTGTTATAAAAGCTTCTTTGGGACCTGGACAAGCCAGAAAAGGATACAGAAGGAGAAACATCGTCTGTGCTCCCGCCTCCCGGAGGGCACTGCCTTCATATCTAGGTTGCTTTCGTCGGCTTACACGACGGACAATTTATACTAACTGCAACCACCATGGACGTGGATTTTGGGTCCTGCTTTTTCTCGCCTAACCGCGAGCGTCTCCGTGTCTGTGGGAGCTGGTGGTGTGCCTGCCCCCCAGTCCTGGGCTCTCCAAAGCCCTGCGAGGTGGCCCCCAGGCCCCGCCTGTGTCCTCTAAGGAAGGAGCAGGTGAGTGCAGCCCGAGGGGGGCAGGAGGCACTGGCTGGAGAGGGGGGTGGGCTCCACCTTGGCTCCCCAGGCTGGGGACAGCAGCAGGCAGGAGGGGACAGCTGGGGCACACGACGGGTGGGGGTGGAGGGCGCTGTGTGATCCTAACCTGGGGAGGTGCCCTCGCCTTCACCCCAGGGAGCTGGAGTGTCCCCGTGTCCAAGAGCCACAGCCACCCCGCCCTTGCTCCGTGTCCTGGATCTGAGCACATGAAGGTGGGGGAGGTGATGCTTGGGGTGTTTGTGCAGGGAGCGGATGAACAGATAGGGTGAAGGGGGCAGCTGGTGACCAACAAGCCCCGTTCGGTGAGCCCAGGCACTGGCGGGAGGCGAGGCAGGAAGCGAGGTGGGAAGCGAAGCGGGAGGCGAGGCAGGCGGTCAGAGGCAGGAGGCGAGGCAGGAGGGGAGCAGCAGAGCCTCGGGCAGGCGGCATGGGTGGAGGCTGGAAGTGGCACGTCCACTCCGGGTGACTGCTACTGGCAGGAACGTCCCGGGTCTTTCGAGCTGGGGTGCATCAGGGAGAGGCAGAGGAGGTGGGCTGGACCCCTGGAAAGGTCACCCAGCCTGACCCCCACACCCCCCACCTCGTGTGTCCAGGGTTAACTACACGGACTGATGGCCCTGAACCAGTCCCGGCTCCTCCCTCCGCGCATCCGTCCAGCTTGAAACACCGCGACATGTGCAGGGGGCTGGCGCCTCCCCCAGACTCATAAAGCAAAGGCCTCAGGGTCACCTCAGCTCGAACTCGGCAAACAGGACGTCGAAGTGCCTCAGCGCCTCCCTCATCTTCTCCGTGTAGGTGTTGAGGTCCCGCAGCGCCTGATCGCGGAGGGCACCCCGCACATCCTCCAGGCTGCGGGTCAGCTCCTTGGCCAGTGGGCGCATGGCCATGCTCTCCAGCTCACGGTTCATGATGATGGAGCCGGCGGCCAGGCACTGCGGGCAGAGAACACGGGTCAGGAGAGGCCTGGGAGTGACCGGCATCAGAGCTGGTTCCAGGGGGCCCCCTGGAGCTTGACCGGCTGGGGTCCTCCCCTCCATTCTACAGAGAGCAGGTGCTCTAAGGGCCAGCCCTGAGGACGGTGGGACAGGAAGGCAGGGGAGTGGTGGCCAGGCCAAGGCGTGCCCATCATCCCCAAGACCCCTCCCCGAGGCTCCTCTCCTGGGAACAGCCCCACTTCACACCCTGGGCCAAGCGTCTCGGGGACGTCCACCTGCTCTCTCCTGGTCTCTACTTAACCCAGAGCAGCCGTAGCTCTGACGACAAATGCTCTCCCTGAGACAGTCTGCACACGGATCCAGAGGCAGGCAGGGAGGGGAAGTCCAACCGGGACTCTTGGGTCTGGGGGCTCCGTGCTGGGGGCCCTGGTCCTGACTCCTGCCCCCTTCCGCCCAGCCCACAGCTGGGTGCTGGATGCCCAGGAGCGCCTCAACACCACATTCATGGCCACACTTCCGGCACGAGGCACTGGGGGCTGACCATGCTCCCCAAGACCGCTGACCTTTCTAGGAAGTAAAGACACCTCGCGTCCACAAATGCTCACTGACCTTCCGCTGAGCCGAGACTCATCAGTGTGGGACTCCCAGCTCCTGGGCAGTAGGAGGGACCCTCTGTGCCCACAAATCCACCCACACCTGTCCCGGGCAGCGGGGGGCAGATCGCAGGCCTGCGTGGCTGCATGCATCACCCCAGCATGTTCCACACGTCCAGTGACATGGGGTGCTCATCAGACCTGGGTCCTGGCTGAGGGGTGGCTGTGCAATCCCCACTTGGGGCTGTGGTGATGTGGGGCCCCCTGCCCGCCTCAGGCCTGCACTCGTCAACCGCTAACCCGGTCAGCAGTGACCCAGAGATGACCTGGGGCGAGAAGCACTTTCCTGGGGGGCAGAGTGCAGCGTTGCTGATTTCCCCACTCCCCTGGAGGGGAGCATGGAGCTGGCTGGCCCCAGGGCTGGCCCGCACAGGGGAGACGATTCCCTGAGTGCCACCGGGCACGGGACCTGCATCATGTCACAGCTCCACAGCTGTCCCTGTCCCTGGAACTCACTCTATGGCAGGGAAAACCGAGATGGGGCAGGGACAGCCTGCCTGGGGCCCCCTGCACCAATCAAAGTGTGGGCAAGGATGCCCTCCTACCAGGCGGGTCAGAGGGGTGGGGCGGAGGACAGACGGGCCCAGGGCCAGGCGGTGCCAGAGGAAGACGTGGCATCCCAGGGACTCATCGGGAGCGAGGCCGAGGGGGCACAGGCGTCACGCTGAGAACCTCAGCAGGGACAAGGGAGGGGTCGCAAGGTGGGGCCACGGACAATAGCTGGCTGGGGGGAGGCGGGTCCTGCCACCATGGGGCAGGCACCCTCCTCTCAGGCTGCAGTCCCCCCAGTGGGAGAGGAGGAGGGAGGTCTGAGGGGCGGATGAGGGGTGCTCCAGTAAGGCCTCGAATGCAGCCCCCAGCCCCGTGGGCAAGGATGCCCCCCCGTCAGTGGGCGAGGGAAGTGCTGCTCCCAAAGCTGGTAAGAACCCCCTGTGGGCCCTTCACATCTGGGGGCCTGAGAACCTCCCAGAAATCGCTCGTGAAGCTTCGTGTCCATATTTGCATGTATAGATCTGGGGAGCAGGCTCAGGGCTTTCCCAGACCCTCAAAGGGGCGAGCGGCCTCAGGCTCAGAATGCACCGTCCATAACCCCTGGCAGGTGGGTTATGACCCCATGAAGGGGGAGACACCAGGTCCCTAACCCCCGCAGGTGCACATGGGGGAGCTGCACAGTGCCCCACACTGTGACCCCGGACCCAGGCGGCTGCCTGCTACCTCAGCACCGAACCACAGCTGGCCTGCCAGGTTGTCGTGCCGGATTTCCTCAGGGAACTTGACGCAGAAATCCCGCGGGGCTCGGTCCTGGGGGATGCATACGTCCATGATCTGATTAATGATGTTTAACACGTTGTCCTGAAACAGAAACAAGAAAGTGTGCTAAGACGAGGATGATACAGTAACACACCCCTGCTTGCTCTGCAATGGCTACAAAAAGTTCAAATGCTCCAGAAGCATCTAGAGTGGACGTCCTGCCTCCCCCTGCCTCCCTGGTCCTGCTGCTCACGCTCACAGAGGCTAGGCACGCGTGGAGGCCGGGGGAGCCTCCCCACTACCACGAACCCACGAGCGGCTGCTGACCCACACCCAGGCTCCCTGCAGCCCAGGCCACAGGGACTGTCCTCGAACAGCTCTCTGAATACCTGTACGTGAATCTCTTACAACAGAGCTCGAGCAATGGCATGGCTATGTGGACGGACACACAAGAAGTTGATTTTACTGCTCTGCTGCTCCTACTAACATCACAAGCCCACGTCGTCCAGGGCATGGTCACAGCACAGACAAGATAGCTGTCAGGGAAGGACACCACCGGGAGACTGTCTGCAAACCAGCCTTCTCCAAGCCCACCACACAGCGCTCCAAGGCCCGTCCGTCATCCGTGTGAGGAAAAGGGCCTCCTCGCCCAGCACCAGCAACCACAGGAGCCTCCACAGTCGGGGCCGGGGCAAAGCCGCCACCCTCTCTGGACCTCCATTTACTCCCGTGTAGATGGCCGGGCACAGCCGGCCCCTGCTCCTTGGCCCAGGCAGCATCCCCTCAGACTCCTCTGGAACCAGAGATCAATCAGCTGGCAAGGAAGAGGTGCTTCCTCCCTTCCGGGAGGCGGAGACTCTGACTTCACCCCTCACGGCTGTGCACCTGGGGCAGGCTGCTTAACTTCTCTGATCCTCCAGACAGTCCCCAAAAAGAGCCCAGGATTCCCGGACTGTCAGTCAGGCCGTGTGAGCTGGGTCTGTAAAACCTGGAGAACTCGCTGCTTCCTGGTCTGCCGGCCACTGACGGCGTCTCTAATTTTCCACTCCCAGGAACAATGCTGCCGTCAGGCTGTGGGGCGTGACACTCCGAGTGTTCAGTTATGTCCTTAGGATCCACTCGTTTCCAAAAGCGGAGCCACAAAGTCAAGAGTATGCAGTGCATTTACGGGCTCTGGTTACAACCCAGCAAGCTGCTTTCCAGAAAGACGGCCCTAGCTGATGCTCTCGCCCTTGGCAATTTCATATCTCAACACCTCTCCTTTCTGCCCTCTGAGGCTCGACTTCCATTTTTATTAGGAAGCAGATATGAACAGTCACCACAAGTGGGAAGCATGACCTTTCTAATGTAAAACGTCAGCACACTGAGCTCTGACAACACAAAAAATAAAAATAAAATTCAACCAGCATCAAGCGTACCATGACTTCTTTTTTTCTTATAAATGGGTTTTTTAAAAAGATTTTATTTATTTATTTGAGAGAGAGAGCATGAGAGGGGGGAGGGTCAGAGGGAGAAGCAGACTCCCCGCTGAGCACGGGACTCCATCCTGGGACTCCAGTTTAAAAGGCTTTCGGGGGCACCTGGGGGGCTCAGTCATTAAGTGTCTGCCTTTGGCTCAGGTCATGGTCCCAGGGTCCTGGGATTGAGCCCCGCATTGGGCTCCCTGAACAGTGGGAAGCCTGCTTCTCCCTCTCCCACTCCCCCTGCTTGTGTTCCCTCTCTTGCTGTGTCTCTCTCTGTCAAATAAATAAATAAAAAT